CCTTGGAGCAGAGGTTCTAGGCAGACAACCAACCCCATTTCATCTTTATTTAATCAGCCAATTTTATTTATTGAAGTATGACTTACCAAATTAGATGACCACTTTTCTCCTCCCCTCCAAACCCATCCCTCCTTCTTCTCTCCCTGGGCATCTTTCCACCCACTGTCATCTCGCTGGTCACTGCAGACCCTTCTACTGACGTCTCCCTTCATCTCCTGACTTCCACCAGAGGTCTCTGGTGAGTTCCCATGTGCTCTTGCTCCCTGTCTATTGCTGATGACAGTTTCACTTACTGGAGTAAAAATCCTGACTCTGCCACATGTGATGCAGGCAACCTCTTTGAAACTCCATTCTTCATCTGAAGGGGGAACTGTGTCTTAGAGGGTTGCTGTGAGACAATGGCTTTTCACCATCCCTCTTTCTTCAGCCCCAGGTCTGAGCGTGACTAACTTCCTTAGAGACTGCTTTCCCAATTGACTGTATGCAGCCTCTAGACTGTTCTCTTGCATCTTTCCCATGTGTTTTCTCTCAGCTGTCCCTTAGGAGGGCAGGGGTCCAGGTTTGCCAGCCTAGTACAGGTCTGATAGGAGCCTGCACTCCCGTTGCTCTGTGACTGGCAACCTCAGAGACATCAAAGGTTCTGGTAACTGCTAGATGACCACATCATATAGATAAGCAGCGGAGCATAAAATCACAGCTAGCTCCTTCCTTAGGAAACTAGGGCTGGTAGCTTATGCCTGTAATGCTAGTATTCAGAAGTGAGTTTAAAGCCAGCCTGGTCTATACAAAGTTCAAGGCCATCCTGGGCTACAGAGTAATACCTTGTCTTAAACAAACCACAAACTGCCCCAAAAGTCCCACTCGTAGGTCAGGTGTGGTCACTCCCAGCAGACTTGTCAGAGTCAGAAACTGGGGGCTCCAATCAGAAGAGCTAAACTCACCAGCGAAGGAAGGAAGGTGTGATTCCCTGGTTCACTGATCCAGTCATCTGAGTACTTAGGCCAACCTGAGATATGATGGAACCACTCAGACTTTAAGTTTCCTCATTATGAAAAGTGATAATTCACTGAGTTTAGCATACTACAATGTACATACATCCCCCCAAACCATGCACATGATAAATGCAATTTTCTTCATCAGCTAAAAATGAAGCTAAGAGCCAGGGACACAGATGTAGCAGAGCACCTCCCCAGCTCATGCCCTGAGCTCTAGCTCCAGTATTGCAAAACAAGATTCATTTTTAAAATCAATTTTTTTTAGGTCAGTTAAAAATGAGTCTGAGGCGGGGCTGAAGAAATGGCTCAATTGAAGAGTACTGGCTGTTCTTCCAGAGGACCCAGGTTCAAGTCCTGTACCCACATGGCAGCTCCCAACTGTTAACTCCAGTTTCAGGAGATCTAATGCCTTTCTCTGGCTTCTGCAGGCACCTGGCATGCACATGGTGCACTGACATACACACAGGTAAGCATTTATACATATTAAAGTAAAAAAAAATAAATTTAGGAGGCCAGGAAAATGGCTCAGTGGTTTAGAGCATGGATTTTTCCAGAAGACGTAGGTGTGATTCCCAGTACCCACAGCAGTTCACAACTATCTGTTAACTCCAGTCTCAGGATATTTGAAGCCCTCTTCTGTCTAAGACAGGCATCAGACATACATGTGGCACACAGTCATACATGTGGCACACAGTCATACATGTAGGCATAATGATCATACACATAAAAGTAGAAAGAAAAGAAAAAAAGCATTAAGTTTAGGATACTTGCCTTTATATTTTATATGCCTGTGTATGTAAGTGCACCATGATGTGCAGTGCCCTCAGCATCCAGAAGAGGGCACTCCATCCCCTGGGACTGGAGTTAAAGGCAGCTGTGAGCCACCATGTGGGAGCTGGGAAATAATCTCTGATCCACCAATGCAATTAATCACTGAGTCATCTCTCCAGCCTCCTAATTCTTGTTTTTGAATGTAATTTTTATCCTTTGAGAATTTGATACATGTATACAATGTGTTTTGATCACACTTCCCCTCCTTTTCTCCTAACTCCTCCCAGATCCATCTCAATTCTCTATTCCCTTTCCCAACCTCAATAACCCTGCTCGTTCATAACCTGCTGAGTTATGCAGTGGCACAGTGCCACACATTGGGTCATGGTCAGCCTACGAGGACACAGTGTGGAGAAACAGCCTCTCCCTCCCCTAGCAGCCATCAACTGAACTCGCAATGTTCTTTTGCCTATTTTTGTACATCTACTTTGTATGTTTACATGGAAATGGATCCTCCTGCCATGCATGCATGTGGAGGCACAGTAGTTAGTTCTCTCAGTCCACCATACTCAGGTTGTCAGACTTAGCAACAATATCGTTATCAACTAAGCATTTTGCTGGTCCTGCACATGTGTGTGTGTGTGTGTGTGTGTGTGTGTGTGTGTGTGTGTATGTATGTATGTATGTATATGAGTGACTGAGTGAGTGAAACTCTGGTCTCCCTTTTGGTTAACTCTGAGATGTTTTCAGGTCCCAAATACATTTATTTACCTGAGTTTTCATAAAAGGTGACATATTTTTGGAGACAAATGACGATAAAGACAACATGCCTTTTCATGGAACCTAGAGACAGGATGCATCTGAGTTACCAAGGACGTCTGGGCAGAGTCTCTGCCTCCAATGGCATGTTAAATGAATCACTTGCAGGCTGGGGGCTTGGCCAGGGTCCCTATAACGGAGTGGGGTGATGCTATCAGGGTGAAAGGACAGTGGAGGCTTCAGCAGACACAGGTTCTTGCCTTCAGCCTGGGTGGGGATCTAAGGCATGCTCTGATTGGCCAGTCTACCTGGCAGGCACAGAATGGGGAAGGTACTGGAGATGCCCTCCTAAACACTCCTCCACCATTCCCTTGGCATCACACAAAGTGCTTGTGTAGCACTATAGCTACTGGGATCCACTGCTACCTGCTATGGTCAGAACTATAACCAAGCTTCACAAACAGATCAAATGGAGGCAACTCCCCAATCCAGGAAAAGCAGGTGGGGCATCCAACTGTGCACAGATACAACTGGAAGGCCAACTTCCTACTTGCAGTTGTTGCGAAGTGTGCAAACTGGCACCAGTGTTGGTCAGTTCACCAGATCCTGCAGGTGAGGAGCACAGAGGTCAGAGGAAACTCTATTGCTTCACTCTATCTGAGCTAGTAGAGGTCTAGTCCCAGGAGGGTGGGGGTAAAGCAGGGGGTGAGCATGTGAGGGTGTGGGCACACCTAATGCAGTGGAGGAAGGAGCCTCCAGTGAACTGCTGACACAGACTCATAAGGAAGCGTGGCTCCCATTTTGAATTTTTTTTTTTTTTTTTAAGCATGGAGGCTGGAGACGGAATCTTACCAATGTTAGCAAATGTCCTAACATTGAGCTACTCTCAGCCCAGTTGTCAGTCTTCTAGGAAGCAAGTGTTAGAGGAGATCAGAGGGTTGGGACTCCAGGACTCCTGCACCCAGGAGCAGCAAGGACACAGGGACAGCTGTGGAAGCAGAAGAACCTGCACAGACACACAGTGAGGAGATTAAGAAGGCCAGACGGGCTGGGTGGTAGTGGCATGTGGATCTCCGAGTTCGAGGTCAATCTGGCCTACAGATCGAGTTTCAGGATAGCCAGGGCTACACAGAGAAACCCTGTCTCAAAGAAAAAAGGCAATCAGATGGATGGGTGGTCCAGAAACAAAGCAGAGTCCACAGTATTAGGAACCAGTGAAGGAAGGCACCGGGAGCTAGCCTTCTCTAGGAAAAAAAGAGGGCAGGAAAACACATCCCTTCTAGAGCAGAGACTTCAAGAATTTGTTTTCCATGCCTTAGGAAAGAGAAGGGAGAAGAAGTAGGTCAAGCTGAAAGAGCCCCATGCCACCTGGTTGATGTTATCTGTCACTTAAGTTAACTCTTTCTGTGCCCTACCCTTAGAATGGCAAGGATAGAAAAGCTGGTACCAGGGTTTGGCAATGAGGCTTTTTGTGACACCATGTTTTAAGAGACTGGGCTGACAGAAGGGCACAGCTGGTAAAGGTGCCTGTTACCAAGCCTGACAGCTTGATCTTGATCCTCAGATCTCACACAGTGACAACTAACTGCTACAGATTGTCCCCTCATCTCCACATGTGTGCCATGGCACATACACCACATGCACATATGTACACATACATAGGTACATAATGAATAATTTAATAAAGGTAATCACAGCTCAGAGCCTGGAAAGATGACTCCATGGTTAAGAGTACTTACTGCTCTTTGGCCTCTGGAAAACAAGTAGGTGCTTAAAAATAAAATTCAATGACTGTTCTTCAACAGATATCTGTTATGTACCAGGTAGGAAACACCAAAAAGTCTAAGTACTGAAGTAGTTCTGAGAAAGCCTCCCTGTCAACAGTCTCAGACCGGTACCCTCAGTCAGCAGCTTTATTTACCGAGGGTTCCAGCGAACACATGTGCCAGCCTGTGATAAACAACAAGTTCCTGTCTAAAAGAGAAGGAAGGCAGAGACTCCAGAGGCCAGGGGTAATGTTAACTACCACAGATGTGCCTCTGCCCTCTTTCAGTGTGGGAAACCTCAGGGGCAAAATCATTAAGGAAATGGTTTAGAGTGTTTGGGCATGTTGGGAAGTCCCATTGTCAAGGTCTAGAGCTGAAATGTGTCATTTTCCTTTGCCAAAGGTCAAACTCCCAGCAGCTCCTCAAACCACTTCTGTGTGAGGGAGAGAAAAGGACAAAGAAAGATTAAACTACAGAGCAAAAAATTAGAACGCGTTAGCAGATGTTACCGTGTGGACACTCAACTTTATTCACTTTACCTATATATTTAACAATTCTAAAGTATTTACTTCTGCTTTGACAAAAAAAGAAATGAAAAATATAGGAGCATTGACTCCTCTTTAGGAGAAAAAGGGTTATATGTACAGCTACGGAGAGTTATGGTTCCTCCTTTACATACAAAGAAAATATTAATAAAAAAAGTGCTTCATTGATCAAAAAGGGCTAAGAGCTGCAAGCATTTATTCACACTGTACAACAGACCCAAGAAACCCGTATCATAACCTCTTGGCACCTGTCACTAGGAACTGCACAATCTTCAATTATGCCAACCTTTCTCTACCCACACCTCCAAACCACAGCAAGCATGGAAGAGAACTTCACCCTGTTTTACTAGATTCGGCCTCTGGGTGATTTGCTGCTGGAGGAATGAGCAATGCTCGGATACCCTGGGCTTCGTTTCAGCAGACAGTACTAGGGAGGGCTTCTGGGCTTCTTACACACACACTCAGGAACATGCACAACCACCTTCCTGAAACCGAACACCCATGGCCAGTTAACAACTTCCAAAGGAGAGGGGCATGGACATAGGCCAGGCTAGAACTGAGGTGTCCCCCCCAACCTCATCCAGCCCTCACATTACAATCTGCTGTTAGCAGTTTGCGGCTTTTAGCAGAGCCAAGTATGGCCCTGGGGGTGGGGAGTGGGGGCACAAACACATATACCAACAATTCAAAACTACTCTCCACCCTTCCCACACCCACCTCCACCACAGGTAGCTACTGGTTTAAGGCTCTTTTGGACCACATCAAAGCTCACTGAGGAAAGGAACCCCAAATCTCCTCTTGTCATGTTCTTTGAACCCTGCGATCACCAAGTGGTTCTTCACTGGTAGCAGAAGCCAGGCATGTGCCCACTCAGGCAGCCAGAAGCAGGACAGGGACTCCTGGTCCTTCCTGCAGCCCCCAAAAGTAGGGGAAGAGGGGGCTGATTGTGCGGAGAGCTTTGTAACTGAGGGACTCTGTCCCTCAAGGGGAGATGCATGATTGATTTGCTTTGGGAATGGGGGAACTTGTGGAACCCTGAGTCTGGATTTCCCTGTGTTGGCCGAGGAAGAGATTGTTTGTGGGGCCAGGCCCCAGAGGGAGCTCCCAGGTGCCTAGTTCAGGGCAGGCCTTGACCACAGAGGCACCATATTCTGGCATCTGCACCGCCCAAGGAGGCAAAGGGAGCCCTACCCAATCTGGTCAAGTTAAAGATGGAATCCACATGGGCCAACATGTCAACCACCCAGCCCCTCAGTAACTCAAAAGGAGCACAGGCCTCTCTTTTCAAAGTGAGGCCTGTGGAGTACCTCACTGTGTGCCCTTTCTTGAGATGCCATCCTGTGTTTATCTGTGAGGTCCCCCTCAGGAACTGCACTCTCCAGAAAGGTACTTCTAGCCTCCCCAGCAGCAAAGGTTTACCAGTAGGCTCTGACAGAGGTGTGATGTAAGGAATGGTCACTAATGTTAGATTGACTTTCTGTCCTGCTGTCTCAGGCCTTCATTCTGGCTCCTTCCACTGGGAAGCATTAAGCCATCCCCCAGCATACCTGAGAACAAATAGCTCGGCAGTTATAGGGGCCTGGTAACCTCTGACCTTCCATTAAAAAAAAAAAAAAAAAAATTAAGACAACTGGGGACATTTTTCTTTTTAGAAGGCAAAGAGGGAGCATGGAAAGGGAAGGGGAGATGAAACAAAAATCAATTTACAATCCAGTGGTACATCCCAATCTCTGTACAGGTTGTTCCATTCCCCCATTCCAAAGTGTATGGGCCTCTCACACTGCCCAGGCTGTGTATGAGCCTGTTAAAGGAACAGCAGCATGGCCTCAGCCACCCCAGGTCACTGAGCTTCAGTTTGAAGTGGCAGCAATAGGCTTATCCAGTTCAAGGTCAATGCTGGAGCTTGTGGGATGGAGGCTGCTATAGCAAGACTTGCACACTCGACTGGGTTCAAATAGCTGCTGGCTGGGAACTGGAACCTTCTGGTTACAACAACTGGAGCAGAATACGTTCCCACAATTCCTTGAGATAAGAAGAAATAAAAAACATTAGTTTCAGATAGTAGGTTTGGGGGGGAGTGGGGGGACAACTTTAGAAAGCAGCATTTGATGTGTATAGTAGTCTAGACAGATGTGCCAGAAACATGTTCATTTCTCCAGGCCAGGAAGAAGTTGAGTAGGAAGACAAGTCCACCTAGTGGAGTCATTTTCACTTCAGGTCAAGGATGACATGTGGCTGCCTCACCATTTCAGCACATGGCTGTCAGATACACAGGAAGATGCTCCAGAGAGCTCTCTGTGGCCAATGAGACAGCACTGAAGCAGCTGCCAGCTCAGCACTCAGTCCTGACCTGGGGACATACTCAGTGGCTGCACCGACCTTGGTACTGGCCATCTGGGTAGAGTAAGGTCATAGGGAGGCCAAAGTCAAAAGGAGTTGGCCTGTGGGCCCATCAAAGAACACAGACAACTATGCTGCCCACCTGGGGACGAAGAACCCTGCCTGAAGGTCACTGCCTCAAAGGCAAGTTAGATGCAGACCGCTGCCAGCAGCATGCAAAGCCAAAAGCCAAAGCAGCCTTGACACATGCTCAGCGTGAAAGGGAGGTGGAAGGACAGACCATGAAGAAACATATGCATGTATATATCCCTATTAGACAGTGGTCAGTCAGCTACGGTTCACTGCTCTGCCCCATGCATCTATCTCTAGGCTCCCCTCTCCTTTCCGCCAAAACCCCTATCTCCTTGCATCTGTGCAGCGTGGATCTGCACAGCCAAACTGATGCCCATCACACACACACAGGAAAGGTAACAACAACACAGGACGAGTTCTGCCTACCTTCCAATCCTACATTTGCTGAGCCCTAAAGTACAAACCAACACCAATCAGCTCAACACAGGAAACTCCAAGGTACCTGACACAGCTCTCCAGAGATGAGAAGAGGAAGTTAATAGGAAAGCTTCCTCTGCGCTAACTTCTCAGCCATGCTCCTCAGAATGCAGACCACACTGGGTAAGGACCACTCGGGCACAGGAGGAGTGGACACTGACGACCACATGAGACAAAGCAACACTGTAGAAGGGAAGGTGGGACAGGGCAATAGGACAGGGAACCAGAACACAAAGCCCTTTGTTTCTAGAATGTGGAAAGTACTTTACAACTTTCTAAGAAGCATGAGTCAGTAAGAACTTGTGATGCTTGAACACAGGAACAGGAAATCTTCTCAATGTCTGTACTTGTTTGACATACCTGCTGAAGTTCAGCTTTTTAAAAAACCTGACATGAAATTGATCAATTAAGCTTTTCTATCTGACTTCCTTTGGGAGACCCTGAAACACTTAAGTGGAGTCTTCCATGCTAAGGAATTCTCTGGAAAGATCATATCTGTTCATTTTTGTCTATACAAACAAAACAATGAAGCCATGGTGTTTACTTGAAAGTTACTGGTATCATCCTGGCATCAAGGAATGATTGTCCCCTCTCCCCACCAAAAAAGTCCTGAAGCCCACTGGCTTCCTAGGAAAGATTAGCCTTGCACAAGAAGCACTTCTCATCAAGAGTATAACAGCCCAACTGGCCAGTACAGTCCAGGGGAGTACAAGGCTGCATCAGACACACCCCTGGCAGTCTGTTTCATCAGCTGCTGTAGATCCCCATGCCCACCTGCCTGCCTGTGCTCTCCCTTATGAGGTTTCAGCCCAATGAGTGCAGAGAAGGGAATGGCAGCATTAGTGTGGAGAAGTTATTGTAGGTGTGCAGACATCACAGACAAGTTGTTGCAAATGCTCACCACGTTTGATCAACACGGTCAGTGTCCCTGAAAGGAGGGGAGAAAGAGCTCAGAGAAGCCATTTTGTCTAGGGATGCAAGGTGGGGGAGACCCATGGTCCTAAGAGTGTCATCTGTCTACAAAGAGGTTTTCCCATCACTTTCAATCCAGGCTCACTTCTACACGTGGCCAATGTACGGTTCTGATAAACTTCCTATCCTAAGAACACTAAACATCTACCTGACAGTTGCCACCCTTGCCAGGGCAAAGTAGCCTTTGTAACTCACTGCTCAATCTAGGAGAAAGAAGTTAGGAGCAGCAAGGCTTGGAGATTGCCCTCAGCTGAGTCTACTATTCTCCAGCTCAGCAGTAGCACAGGGCTCAGGGAGCAGAAAGAAGTAGGAAAACTAGGCTCCCTGCCCACATCTAGAAAATTGTTTTTGCTCAAAGTAGCCATGATCAGTTGTATGCTGGAAAAAAGAAATGATCTGCATGGTAGTTGTTACCTCACCAATCTGGGAAATGAAACAAAGTATGTCCACATTTCAAAATTTAATAGTGATCACTGAGTTGGAACAGAGTTCCCAAATGCAGTTCTGGAAGGACCAATTTCAGAGAAACAGAAATGTGACCCCAAGGGCAGTTCACACAGAACACTTGTTGGTAAGATGTCAAAGTTCAGACCCCCACAGCCCAGCCCACCCTAAAAGCCACCACAATGGCACCTGCAGTGGTGCTTCCTGCTGGCCAGCCAGAAGGCACTGTCACAGGCATAGCAGTGGGCAGCCAGGTGGTCAGGGAGCCAACGGGTCATCTGTAAAACACATGGGACCAGGTTAGTGACAGACATGGGCCAGTCAGCGGACATCAACAGAGTCACACGGGGAGCATGAGTCACAAGGACTACATGGGCTCCAACGGTACCAGTGCAGCAGGCCTGCTGGCAACAGTTCAAGGAAGGTGTCCAAATTATTCGCCTGGAAGGGACTCTCATTTCCCCGAGATGTCGTAGCAGCAGTGGCACCCTGGGCTGCCATGAGAGCTGGCAGAGGCAATGGAGAGAGAGGGCCAGCTCTCTGAGTGTCTCTGGCTTAGAACTGATGGATGTGGGTTCCCAGACACTGAGATACAGAGGCTCAACTCTAATGTGAGTTTCTTCCTTGGGGAGGGGCATGGGGCAGAGATTGGAGTGGAGAAGAACTGTAGGACACCTGTATGGATGGCACGCAGAGCAAGGGCTGAGCCTGTACCTCTGTGTCCTGTTTATCCACCTGCTCCCAGCTGGCTTCAGAGAAAATCTCTGTGCTGCAGCGAGACAAACAGTTCTGATCCAGATTGCTTTCCGAGTCGGGGATTGAAGTCTGTTGGTAAACAAACACAGCTGAACAGAATGAACCTGTCTCCTCCCAAAGGAAGAACAGAGCACTGGGAACTATGACTGCTAAGGTGCCAAATGTGCAATCACACCAGCCATCCAGACTTGGGCTGAGCAGGTGCAGAGAAGGGGCTGCGTTCAGAAGGCTACATGGATTTTGTAGCCTCAGTGACACTGAGTGGAAAGATGGGCCTAAGGGAAGCAAGTGAAGTGAGCAAGGACAAACAAGCTCCTATGACAGCTGTTCTGCTGGGCCTCGTGATCCAGTCCAACACTTAATGAAAACAGTGATTTGGGTATGCCCTCCTTTTTCTGAAGGACTCTTTGGGACACCATTATTAATTAGTATGAAGAAAAAGCTGAAAGTTCCTTTGATTGTAAGGTCTGGAAGATCAGGGATGATTACTCTAGAACCTGCCTTACACTTGTAATCTCAGACCCATCCAAGAAGAAAGCCCCTCTGGGAACCCAAGAATCCTGGCACCCTCATTTCTAGCCACCAAGCCTCATTAGTGCAAAGTCTTCAATAATGTTTAAAAAAAAAAAAAAAATCCCTTCTCTCCATTTCTCCTGCCAGCACCTGCCACAGAGTAGGTACAAACACTTGTTCAAAAAAAGCAAACTCTCAAAGCTCCCAAGTCCGGGAAAGCAGGCAACTTATTAGTAAGGCAGGACTCCTCTACAAATGCCATCATGATCAGGCGTGCAAGCCCTTCTAATTTATTTGGGGGGTGGAATGAACTGAGACAGGACCCTTTCTGAAGAGAGTTGATTCCCATGTCATGCATTAACTCTTTTCCTTTCTCTTAAATGCCTAGAAGGGAATGCAATGCCAATACAGCGTAAAAGAGGCAGACTGCTGTCTCCATGGCCAAAGCGAATTGCCAAACAAGCTCTCTCAACATGGTAATTTAAGACCCTTTTAGTCCTTTCAAAATCTGTTCCAATAACCATGCTCTGGGTGAAAAGGGCACCTGACCTCTGTGTCAATCATCTCTTTGGACACCTTCAAAGGAATCATGGCCTAACTTACCACTTCCTCTCCAAAGTCCCCATTGAAGCGCAGTGAGCTGGTCAGGCACTGGCTCTCCAGGCGACTCTTGAGCTCCTGGACTTGTCTCTTCAAGGTCTCCACTTCCTGCTGGTGGCCAGACTCTATCTGACGCAGGCGCTGTTGGATTGTGTCTGTGTACACAGGCATGCCATCATCATCTAGGTGGCTGCGGGAAGGCTGGTCAGGGCTACTGGTAGTGGATGGCCTCCCTGAGTGGCTATTCAGCCACTTGTGGTGCAAGTTCCTTGAGTACAAGTGAGCAGAGCTGCAGCTTGTGGCAGACAGCTGGTGGCTCAGTGAGTCCTTATTCCTCCCAGCCTCCCCATTGGCACAGTGCCCATTGGGTGTGGGGTACTTCTGAAGGGTGCCAAACCCTGAAGGCTGTTCTGAGGCCTTGTTTTCAGTCTCTAGGGCACCGTTGCACACAATCCCCTGTCTACATTTGTCTAATGGCAAGGCACAAGAAGCCCGCATCAGGCTGAGGGTATTGCCAGGGGATGAAGTCCTATACAGCACAGAGTCCCAATGAGGCCTCTCAGCAGACCTGGGCTCTGGAACCATGGGAAACATATCCTTGCTACTGAGCCTACCACTGCTTGCAAGGCAAGGTCTGTGATGGAGCTGGGACCCACTGTCTGACTTCACCTTATCTTCTAGTAACATGTGCACGGAGCTAGTCATGTGTGGTTCTCTTGTCTCAAATGGGACTTGGGAAGGCAGCAGAGAACTAGACTGTGAGGTACCAAGGCCAAGTTTTGCGTCTACTGGGACAGTAGGAGCTCCATTCTCCCTGTCCTGAGCAGTATCTTCTATTTGAGGCGGCTCCACAGGGACCTCCTGGGAGTCCTCTCCCCTGAGGGGAGGCTGGAGTGAACTAGAGAGAACACTGTGCCCATCTTGCTGTTCAGGAGTATCCTGTGAGAACAAAGGCAGGCTGGGGTCTAGATGGTTTCTTAGAGCAGCAGCATCCAGCTCTGGATCTTGGTGAAGTACGTCTGAGCTCTGAGCTGTGACCCTGCTCTCCTTTGCTTGGAGTGCCTCCTCCTCGACCTCTGGTGCCTCAGTGTGCTCCCTGTGGGCAAGCTCTTCTGCCCCACTCTCCTCTTTAGTGGCCTCTTGCAAAATGTTCTCCATCTGCCCTTCAGCCACACCAGCTGCCACAGATAGCTCAGCACCTCCGAGCAGCCTGCTGGGCTTCCGCAGGTTGTCCACAGCAGGTGTCTCTTCCCCAGAGCCAGCAAAGCTGCTCAGCTCCAGTGAGCGCCCATGTTCCTGCCACTTCTCATTCAGGCTGGGGTCACTGCTGCGACGGCTGGCCAGAGGCACCATGTTGTCACAGGCTGTGGTCAGATTGTCATATGATCTAGTCTTAGGTAGCCTAAAAGAAAAGGGTGTGTAGGGAAAATGAGATGCTTAGAGGCTATTTAGAGGCATTACGGACAACAGGTTTTCAATAACCACCTAGAGTGGCAGGGCTTTCCACCAGCACTGCCTGCACCGGCCCACTGTCAGTCCCCACCCCCAAATAAGCTGAAAGCATATACTCCCCCGCCCCCAAGACAGGGTTTCTCTGTGTAGCTCTGGCTGTCCTGGAACTCCCTCTGTGGACCAGGATGGCCTGGAATTCACAGAGAGCAGCCTGCCTCTGTCTCCCAAGTGCTGGGATTAAAGGCCTGCAGGCCTGCACCATCACTGCCCAGTGCCTATACTATTTCTAAAAGTCACTCTTTTCTCCCCCTCCCTTTCTTCCTTCCTTCCTTCCTTCCTTCCTTCCTTCCTTCCTTCCTTCCTTCCTTTCTTTTCTTTTTGTTTTTTGAGACAGGGACACATGTACTGCAGAAGATTGGCCTCACACTCTCTATGTAGCCCAGGAATCCAGGAATGGCCCTGAACTCCTGATCTTCTGCCTCTACCAGCAATGTGCTGACACTACAGGAAAGTACTCTCATGCCAGGGTTATGAAGCACTAGGGCTCAAATGCAGGGCTTGATGCAAGTATTCTACAAACTGAGCTGTGCCCACAGCCTTTAACAGGTACTTCTCATGATGCTCTGTGTCCCTCAGGTAGTGGTAAAGTAGCCTGCTGGTTCTTTGTAGTATACATTTTAAATTCATTTATTATCTATCACTCTGATCTTAATAAATATAATTCACAAGTGACAATCAAAATTTCTCTCATCTCATAGCATCTGACTTTTAAGGCTCAGAAGACCAATCAGGGCAGAGAAAGAAGCCAAGAGTAGTGGGTAAACAAACCAGAGAATCACAGACTCAATGGACGTGCTCCATCACTGAGAAATTTCTTAGTGCATGTGGTAGAATAATGTAGCAACAGGCCCAACTCACTTCCAGAAGTAAGGCCTTACTATCTTCCTTAAGAAGTCTGGCAGTGGTGGTTCACACCTTTAATCCCAGCACTTGGGAGCAGAGGCAGGTGGATCTCTGTGACTTCAAGGCCAGCTTGGTCTATAGAGCTAGTTCTAGTCTCTAGCTACACAGAGAAACCCTGTCTCAAAAAAACAAATAACCTCCCCCCCCCCCAACTGCTTCTACAGAAGAAGCAGCTAAACTTCAGCCAGATGTGCTTCCTGCCAGTAAATCACTTCGCTGCAAGTCTGAGGTCAGCTTGGGAGGGAGGGAGAGGGAGAATACCACACACAGGGCTTGAGACTTATGGCATCAGCTCCAGGCTCACCTGCTCAGGGGTGGGTCATCAGGGCTGGTGCCTGGGGCTGGGTATGGTGCACAGCTGTCATCTGTGGGAGCAGATGGAGATGGGCAGGGAAGGTACACTGCACTCCACAGCATCAGATTCCGCACATGGCACACTGGATATAGCACCTGAGGAGAGGGGGAAGACACAAGTTTATGCAGGCCCCCAAAGTCTCTTAGAAATGTCTAGAAATAAGCAGCAAGAACAAACACACCCAGGTGGGCCACTCAACACAGCTGGGTCACAGATCAACAAGGAGGTATTATCAATAAAGGAAGGTCTGTCTCTCAAGGGGACAGGTATAGAACCATTGGATCTGTTTGGCAGTAGTTTCCATTTAAGAGCCTCTTGTGAGCCTGGAAATCTAATGAATCCTTTACAGACTAACTTACTAATTATCTAAAGTGATCTTTTCTGAATGACTGATTGACTACATAAGAATCATTCGATTAAATGGTGAATGTGTTTCTTCAAGCTCAGCTTCAGCAAAAACTGTCAAACCTGTTTTATAGAATCACATAAAGAAATTTCCTCCCTTATTGTCACTTCTCCAGGAGGCACAGTGAAGGAAAGAAACAGCACACACCTTTCAACTGTAATGAGAAGTGCATTAATTACCAAGCAAAGTAATATAACCTCTCATTAGCCTGCTTTCATTTCTTTCTCTCTCTCTCTCTCTCTCTCTCTCTCTCTCTCTCTCTCTCTCTCTCTCTCTCTCTCTCTCTCTCTCTCTCTCTCTTCCCCCCTGGTTGACAGGGTTTCTCTGTGTAACAGCCCTAGCTAAAGTAATATAACCTCTCATTAGCCTGCTTTCATTTCTCTCTCTCTCTCTCTCTCTCTCTCTCTCTCTCTCTCTCTCTCTCTCTCTCTCTCTCTCTCTCTTCCCCCCTGGTTGACAGGGTTTCTCTGTGTAACAGCCCTAGCTATCTTGGAACTTGCTCTGTAGACCAGGCTGGACTTAAACTCACAGAGATCCACCCAGCCCTGCTTTGATTTTTAAGGGTTACAATGCATCTGACAAAGGGAACATTTGTTAATATGTCTAAAATTTATCTCTTTTTGTAAACTTAAAAACTTCTTGTGAGCTCCAGAGAGTTGACTTGGATCCATCATGAATAGGTCAGATGTACTCTAGGTAAGTACTGTCAATCCACAGCCTAAGTTTCCCAATCTACTGCCTGTTTCTGAAGGTGGGCTCCCCCACATTTCCTGGGTCTTGGGACTCCCCGCCCTCAGTTACCAGGACCTAAGAAACAATTTCCCCCTAACTTAATTTTATTTTCTGCTCTACTACCATCTTGCCAGGTTCAGGTATCCTCTTACTCTATATCCGGGACAGCTTCAAAGTGTAGCCCAAGCTGGCCTCAAACTCAGGTCCACCTGCCTCTGCCTCTTCAGCATATCCTACTGAGCTGCCTTTTCAGTTTTCTTTGAGTGTAAAATTCAGGCCACAGGCCTTTCTCTCCTAGAGCTACTACTAGGTCTAGGCACAATTTACTGATGGGAGATATCATTCTGTAAATGTTTCTCTTATTGGCTGATGAAACACTGTGGCCAGTAGGGCAGCAAGATACACAGGTCTAGGAGATGTGGAGGATTCTGGGAAGTGTAGGCATTGAGGAGTCGTCATGTGATTCCCAGGAAGAGAAGCCTCAAGTAAGGTGTTCTCCAGTAAAAGAACACCATGTAGAAATACACAGCTTAGTAGTTATGGGCTAGTAATTAAGATAGAGCTAGCCAATAAGAAGCCCTAGCCGGCGGCCAATAGTTTCATAATTAATATTAAGTCTCGGAGTGTTCATTTGGGGCTGATGAGGCAGTGGGACCAGGCTGGCAGGAAAGAGTGCCTGTAACAGTTTACCTTGTTACCAGACTCAGAAAAAGAGATAAACTCTCAGAACAGATTTTAATGTAACTTTTTTACTATTCCTTTATCTAAAGGAACCCACTTTACAGTGACTGTTCTCAGTTATTAAGACGTGTAAATGCCTAAATGCTAACAACATTAATACATTTTGATATATAGACATATGTACCTCTTTTTTTTTCTTTTTCTTTTTTTTTTTTTTTTTTGCTTAGCAGAAGGTATTCTTTTGGGGGAACAAAGTCTTAAAAGGCCTAGCAGCTCTTCATGTGGGAAGAGTCACAGACAGACATATGCCCACCTCAGAAAGAGCTTTGTGTTGAGACGGAAGCTGCAGGGGTCCCCACTTGCCTGGCTCATGAGAACAGAAACAGGAACCTGATGGCTGACCCTTTGTAACCATAAAAGGCATCTGAGAAAAAACGTGGTGCCTTTCCTCTGTTGAGCTGAAACATGCTAGGAATACAGTAAGCTCTGGAGGAGGAATCAGCAATGGTTTATGTCTAGGGTGGCAAAGTAGAGATGAATACTACACCAAAAAACCTTGAACCCAGCTTGGACATGGACAGGCCAGAACATTATCAGGAAACAGGCTTTCCTTAGGCAGAATGGCAGAAAATGGAAAATGGAACCAGGACATTCAGACAGCAGACATGTTTTTACAAAACTTGGCACTACTCAAACCAGTTCTCACATGCAACCCCACCCTGAAATCCCTTCTGCTGATCACAGAGGCAGGCTGAAGGGTACATACAGCTTCTGACTGAGATGAATACAGTAGGTTTTTGAAAGCCTTGTTGCCTGCCCGAAGAAGTGACCACACAGAACATGTCCGTTCCTGAGTCTGCTTTTCCCCTCTCTCCTTGGCGTTGTTGCACAGGAATGTTCCAAAGAGGCAGGAATAGGTATGCTGTACCAGTTTCACCTGCAAACGTCAAATGAAGCAAAAATCACAGTGGGGTATAGCCCAATTGAACAACTCACCATGACATCCCTGAGAACACTTCAACTCACTCAGGATATAGGGTGTGTGTGTACAAACAATTGATATATGGTTTCCTCTTCATAATTAACAACTGCAGGGCCTGACCCCAACCACCAGCACTTCTATGCCAAAGACATTCTAATACAGGAGGCAGAGTGAAGAGCAGGGCAACAAGGGGCTGAAACAGGTAGATGACATCTTTCACCAAAGAGGGAGCAGAAAGCATGGCAGACAACATTGGTAGAAGGACTGGAGGGGAGCATGGCACATTCAGACTTTTTCTACTTCTAACTACATTGTAGACCATACACTTTAAAAGCTAAGTTTAAAACAAACTCTATGTTTACAGATGAAAAGCTGGTACACCTAGATTCACTGAGTGAAAAAGAAAATGCCTGTTAACTGCATTGCTTTTAAAGAAAGCAGTTGCTCCCAATTAAATGTGAAAAATGTGTGGTTTTGGGTGAAAATGGCCCACTAACGTTTTTATCAACATCCCCTAAGTGTAAGTGGCTTCAAAAATGTAGCATCATTAAGTTCAAACTCACAAGGAATGCTTCATTGAACTCAAAAGAGCAGGGAAATTGCCTCTGAAGCTGATGAACGCAGTCAAGCCACTGCAGAAACACTGGGCAACGCTCATTCAAATCGTCTGAGTTCTCCCCATGACCACACCGGTCAGCAAACTTATGGCCAAAATCCAGCCACTCCATCTCCACAAGGACTTGGAAACCCTGCAGGGAGGCACCAAGGAGAGATCACTTATGTAGTACTAAAACCTGTGACATCCTGTGCTTCATGGCACCAATGGCAATCTCTTTTAACAGCCTCCTGATAAGTTCCTCTGGCCCAGGCTCAGAGCCAAAGGCTCTCTCCCTAATGTCACACCCATTTACACAAATATCTCAATTTACCAACTCCATTCAGTAGTCATTTAAAGGACAATGACATAGCCTCTCTCATGTACTACATAAATGCTACCTGCCTACCCAAACTTCTCTTTTATTTTTGCCTTTGATGTTACATTTGTAAAAACCCTTCCCCAGCACAGATTTTTATAAATATCTGTATCTTATGTCATTTTATGCTTTTGTTTTTCTATCTAACTCACAATGGTTATTTCAGAGCAGATCTTCCAGAATGCTGTGCAGTCTTGTCTAGACCCACTATCATAAGCACGTGGACATTCTTTTGCAAAAGCCCATTTTCCTGAGGTAGACAAAATCTTTCCAAGCAGAGAAACTGCAAAGGAAATTCTTATTTCCTCAGTACCTATTATCCAAACTGTGTTCTAATGAACAAGGTAAAGAATTAGTAAGAAACACCTAGCCACACGGCTCTAAGTGGAGGAGGTATGATTACAACAAATTGGTAATTTCTACAGACCTAACTTCCAGGCCCAAAACTGATCATGCGACCCTCTTAAAGGTTTCCTCAACCTATCCTGAAATGCTCCCTCCGTTCCTCAGACACACTGACCTCTACTGTTCGGTAGTAAGGATCCAGCAGGAGCTTAGCCAACGCCACAATCTGGGGAGTACGATCCCAGCCATCTGAGCAGTGCACTAGCACCGGTCGCTGATCACGGTCCACAGCATGAACTACAAGAAGTGCCGACTTCAGGAGCACAGACAGGTGATGGAGCCATTTTGTGCTTTCAAGAGCTGAAAGCCAACTATAAAAAGGGGGAGATGAGGAAATACTGATTTTTATGGTTTTATGGTATCATGTCCAATGCCTATCAAATTAAAAAGCAACTCCCTAAGACCTTTGTTTCTAATTATAGTGATAAAAAGTCTATTTATAAAACATGCCAAAATGAGAGAGTCAAACTCCACAATCAAGAGAGGACAACTTTATTAACAATGCCACACTGAACTTACATTTATTTTTAAAAAGGCTTGTTCTTAATTATGTATATGGGAGGTGGTATGCATGTGAGTGCAGATGCCTGAGGATGCCAGAGAAGTGTCAGATCCCCCAGAGTTATGATATGGTTGCTAGAAACCAAACTTTGGTTCTCTGCAAGAGCAGTATGTGCTCTTAATCACTGAATAATTTCTTCAGTTCCCTTGCCAACCCCCCCCCCTTTTCTTCTCTACATCAATGAGAATGAAATCCAGGGTCTTGCATTTATTAGTTAAGTGTTCTACCATTCATTGAGCTATACCCCCAACCATGGTGTACAAACACAAACACACACACACACACACACACACACACACACAAACTTGAGACAGGGGTACTGTTTATACAGCCCAGGCTGATCTGGAACTCTTAGTTTTGTCTCCAAGTGCTGGAATTACAGGTATATACCACCACACGTAGCTCTTCACAGATAATTTGCCACAAGTGGGATGGGAAGAGACATCCTAGACAGGTACATATACTATAAGAAATAGATCCTTATGGACACTACTGAGACCCATAAGAGATTTTACAGAAACTATTTAAAGATTATCAATGCTGACCTCACAGCTAAATATAGAAATTACATATATACAAATATATCTATGATAAAATGTAAGCTAGATGCCACATACAAGAATGGTACTCACATTACCCATCACTCATGTCTGAATACCAACCACTGTTAAGTCTTGACTACTTATTGATTAAGAATGGATAGGTTCAATAAGATGATTAGAGTTATGCAAAGTGGTACAATGGCTACATAATATTGGATTTAGAAAGGAACCCCTCTCTTTAAAAAATCCTTTAGGAGTTATCAAACAAAAAAAGAACTGTCTCTGGCATAACGTTACATATTTCACACACCCCCAACTATGTTGACATTTTGTTTCATGTATTTCTTCCTTTAACCTCCAAACAAGTTCTGTTTTTTTCCCAAATGTGGCCAGATTTGTGGTTTAAGGCTACAAGTCTAGCCCTTCAAACACTGAAAACTTCTGTCCAGGATCTTCAGTGGGCTTTGTCAAGGTAGGGTCTAGATGAGGCTTCTGGGACAAAGCTGGTCTACTACAACCTGGAGAATGAACGTGAATTTTTTGTTAAGAGTCTAAGTAAGAAAGGGACATCTTTCCTGCCAGGCCAGCAAACAACAAAACAGTGCATAAGTGCTCTCTTCAACTAGACTAGGTAGGGCTCAGGGGCTGACACTGTCTCCATCACAGCTGTACCCCAAGCTTTGCCCCTAGTATAAGGGAAGAGTCCTTCTACTTAATGAATTACAAATTTGTCAATTCTCAAAATTTAATTTCAAGACTTTCTATCTCAAAATTAAGTGTATGTTAGATGTAATTAAAATACTTTACTGATGGGTCAGTTGTTTATTCTCATTTGCCTTAAAAGAAATCAAAAGGCTTAAGAGATGAGTAATTAAACTATCTCCATGCTGCTGCTGAAGAAACAGTAAGCAAGACTCCGGCAGAGGGCTCTTTTAACCCTGACTGAATGGTTATGAACTAGCAGCCAGTGGTGCCTGTGCCTGAGAGAAGCTGTGCTGCAGAGCTGGCCACCAGAGGGGCTGGCCACTAGGGGGGATGCCACCAGAGGGGCTGGCCACCAGGGGGGCTGGCCACCAGAGGGGCTGGCCACCAGAGGGGCTGGCCACCAGAGGGGCTGGCCACCAGGGGGGCTGGCCACCAGAGGGGCTGGCCACCAGAGGGGCTGGCCACCAGAGGGGCTGGCCACCAGGGGGGCTGGCCACCAGAGGGGATGCCACCAGAGGGGCTGGCCACCAGAGGGGATGCCATAGCACTCCTCTCTGCTAATGTCAAATGGAACCATCCTCAACCTGCCACAGCCCCAGATGGATGGATGGCTTACTCAGTGTCCATCATTGCCAAAGCTTCTTTTTATCCATAAGAGAGAATCAAATACCCAAATATAAAGCATTATTTCTTTAACAAGTCCTCCACTCATTTGGACTGGGAAGAGGCTGATTAATTTTTTTTTTTTTTTTGCATTCAAAATAAAGTTTTGTTTTTACATATTTATTTTTTTACAAGATTCCAGAAGAAGGCACTGTATCCATTACAACTGGTATTCAAACAATTGTGAGCCATTTTGTGGGTACTGGAAACCAAACCTGAGTCCTATGCAAGAACAGCAAGTGTTCTTAACCACTGAGTCATCTTTCTGGCCTCAAAATCAGGTTTTTAAAGAAATAATTTAAATATGTGAGAGGCATTAGACTACACAGTACTGATCTGATCTTTTTATTTTGCATGAAAAGGGATCCTGAACAATTAAGCTACATAGTAAGACACCTCTCTAGAGTTCTCACACCAACTTTAGGGGAGAGAATAGGCTAGGCCCTGGAGCTAAGTAACAAATGCAAATGAATAATCCTCAAAGGAGAGAAGCCAGCTGTTCTTTATTTGGTCACTGCAATGTTCTGAATGAGAATGACCCCATATGCTCACATATTTTATTGCTTAATCACTAGGAAGTAGCACTATTTGGAAGGGTTAAAAGGATTAGAAGGTATGGCCTTGTTGGACGAAGTGTGTCACTGGGATTGAGGTTTGAGGTTTCAAAAGTCCAAGTCAAGCTCTGAGTCTCTGTGCCGACAGATCAGTTTCTGCTCCAGTGTCTGCCTGCAAGCTAGCTGCCTTGCTTCCAGCCATGATAATAATGAAACTATAAGCAAGCCCCTGAATTGAATGCTTTCTTTCATAAGAGTTGTCATGGTCATGGTGTCTCTTCACAAGAACAGAAATCCTAACTCTCTCCAAAGAACAATGCTTCATCCTCAGGGCTGATTGTCACTGTGATAAAAAAAATATAATCCCCTTTTTTGGTTGGTCTGCTGGTTGGTTGGTTGGTTTTGGTTTTTCAAGACTGGGGTTCTGTGTAGCCTGGCTGTCTTAGAACTCACTGTGTAGACCAGGCTGGTCTTGAACTCACAGAGATTTGCCTGCCTCTACCTCCCCAGTGCTGGGATTAAAGGTGTGCACCACCACCACCACCACCCAACAATTTAATTACTTTTTACCAAGAGTCCGAACAAGCAGTTTCAGGCAGCACCTGATGTCATAAATCCATTTAAGAATGCAAAACAAACAAATTAACAAAAAAGTTGATGTGATTATGGGTCCACTGATGGGACTCAAGGAAGCAACTAAACACAAAAAAAGAAAAATCCTATTTTCATTGGCACATCTCTGGCTTCCTGAAATAATAAAGAAGGGGCTTTAAATATTTATCTGTTGACATTTGTTTTATAGAGCACTGATTTATCATGTGTTCAAACAACCCCCTTGCAGGGGGTATTCCTTTACCTTCTTCATTGCAAATTCCAGTCATTCTTTTATTATTTTTTTTTTTATTCTCTCATATATTGCAACTAGACAGCAGTTTCCCCTCAACTCCTCTCCCCCAGACCTATCCCCCTACCCTCACCCCCCAGCAGGCTTCTCAGCAATCAAAACAGCATAACATGCTACAATAAGACCATCATATCAAGGCTGGACAAGGTAACCCAGTAGGGTCCCACCCAGCCATTCATTTTTAATAAGCAACTGAAATTATAATATGTTATTACAGAGTTAACATTACTTTAGAAATGGAAGGTCATGTGTAAACAAACAAACAGAAAGTGACATAGCAAGTTTAAAACTTTTAGAAGGTAATGAGAAACTGGAGAGTTGCCTTAGTTGGTAAAATGCCTGCCACACAAGCATGGCAACCTGAATTTGAGTCCTTCAGCACCTGAGGATTATTCATTTGCATTTGTTGCTCAGCTCCAGGGCCTATCTAGTTCTCTCCCCTAAGGTTGGAGTGAGAACTCTAGAAAAGTGTTGGGGGGGGGGGAACACAATCTGAAAGCCTCCCTTAGACTAGCCTTCATAGTACCTGAAATGGGGCTGTGCAAGCTTCGAAAGGAGGAAAGCTACCAACAGTCCTACCCAGCTGTGATGCCTATAAACCACAACAATGACCAGCATGGAATGAAATCCCTAAAGACACAACTTGTCTTGACAATAAACAACAGCTATACCATCGGACTTGAGAAGAATCTAATCTACAACTGCCACGTTATTAATTCCCAAATGAATTCTAAACAGTTATCAATTGACTCACAGATTAGCGGTTTTTCATCACCAAACAAACTTCTCTTTGCAACAAGTGGAGACCAGGAGACCATTACAGAAAATCACAACTGGTCCAAGTGCAAAGAACAACTGGTGTGGAGTGCCAAGTGCCAATGGATATATCTACAACACAACTCCTGCACCTGAGCTCAGGGAACATTGTAAAAGAGGGAGTGAAAAGACTGTAAGAGCTAGAAGACCAGGAAATCTGCTGTAAGACTGTCTCCTAGAAATGACAGAGAAGTTTCATTCATGAGACTTGAACAATATGGCTGCCTTAATAAGATCTGAACAAGTATACCACCAACAGACATGATAACCTGGAAAGGGGTGATCTCACAGGGTCCCACCCTTGTGACAAAGAATTAAATTGTAACTAGGGAATGCTTATATTGAGAGAAAGTCTTTCCTGGAGATGAGCCCCCTAATTGGTTCTCCAATACCGAGTACTTGAAATCATAACATACAAGTAACACTAAATGGACTGAGCAGGTTGTGTGTGTGTGTGTGTGTGTGTGTGTGTGTGCGTGTGCATGTGTGCGTGTATGTGTAGTGTGTAGTGTGTATGTAAATTGGGACTTTACACTAAGACCCTCAATTCACATCAAGTGCTACTATAGTAATTCAGGAACCAAAGAATTATACTGTTTGGGCTAAAAACAATACAAAAGAGAACAAAGCAGTCCCATGAACATCGAGAATGTACTGCTTCTGTTCTGAGGGCTGAGATCTATTTTGCACTGCACATCCTAAAACTCTGGCAGAAGTTTGTTACAGATATATCAGTTGGGGCTGGGTACCATAGACAAAAAACTACAAGTCAACTAAGGAGTAATGAGATTGGGAGAAATCATCTTCCCAAAATTAATTATCTAATACTAAGTGGTCAGCCTTAAAAAACAAATATACAAGTTAACAATAAATATATGGATGGAACTGGAAGTATTTATATATTTAGAAATATATACACATGTAAAAATTTGAGAGAGAATAGGGGTACATGGGAAGAGTTGGAGTAAAGAATTGGGGAAAATAATATAATTATAATTTAATTTCAAAAATAAATTTTAAAAAAACCTGCAGAAGAGCTTGACTGTCTTTTCAACAGCTCATGTCTATGTTGTCTATCTCCTAAGACAGGAAGAATATCCAGAGACTTATAGTATAACAGGTTCACACACACACACCTGAAGAATACCTCCGAAATCATTTTGTTGTTGTTGTTTTTAAAAGTAAAGAAGAGGAAGAGGAAGAGGAGGAAGAAGGAAGGAGGAAGAGGAAAGAGAAAGAGGAAGGAGAAGGAGGAGGAGAAGGAGGAGGAGAAGGAGGAGAAGAGACATAATAACAACAAAGGAAACTTACTTTCCAGGATCTGGCATCTGTGTACACAGCAGTCGAAGAGACTGGAAACTCCTCCGGATAGAATGGATGTTTGCCATTCCCATAAACACAACTTCACAGTTGGGGTAATACTCTGGAGAGAAAAACAATAAAGAAAACACAAATACATTCAATTTAAGGACCACAGGAATGGCAGCACTCAAATAGCAGGGAAATGACAGATTCAGAATTTCTAGAATTCTGTGTTTACTACATCAGTTTTCACCCCTGCTTTTCTTTCTTTCTTTTTCTTTTCTTTTCTTTTTTTTTTTTTAAAGATGTATTTATTTAGGGAACTGGAGAGATGGCTCAGAGGTTAAAAACACTGGCTGCTGGCTGCTCTTCCAAAGGTTCAATTCCCAGCAACAACATGTATATTATGCATGTACAGTGTTTTGTCTGCATGTATGCCTACTTACCAGAAGAGGGCACCAGATCTCATTACAGATGGCTGAGAGCCGCCATGTGGTTGCTGGGAATTGAACTCAGGACCTTTCTGGAAGAAAATTTAGTGCTCCCACCTCTAAGCCATCTCTCCAGCCCAACTCTTGCTTTTCTAAGAAGTCCATGGCAGGTGCGTTAGGAAGCTAGTGACTCATATATGTACTGTGAGAGGCAACAATGCTTTTAAAACAGACTGAGAAACATCCTCTACAGCAGCACTAACAGACCTAGGGAAAGACCAGCTTCCCTACCACAGAAGGCTGCAACAGAGGAGAAAGTTGATTTGCACCTTGTCCAAAGCACAAGAATGTCAAGGATCCAAAGAACTCGGGCCTTCTAGATGTATAGTGATAATGTGCCTTGTCATTTATTTTACATTAAGTCTAGGTTGTATGTGAGCTGCAGTGACAAGAGCAAGATTATCAAGGGACAGACAGATCTTGCACTCACCTGGGCATTCACAGCCTCCTCCTTTGGCTCGATTTGCCACAGCTGCTGCATAGGAACGTGCATCCAAAATCAAAAGTTTCTGTGGCTGAAGAGCTAAGCTTTCTGCTCCTGAAGCATTTGACAGAGAGGAATCTGCAGACACCAAGAAGAGGGTTATAAACTAAATAACCTAGCTTTCCTAGAACTCTGAAAAATTAGAACCAGAGGCACATATTACAGTAAAAACAAAACAAAATGACTAACTAAGCCTTGGTACACAGACTTAGCTTCACTCTACCCTGCCTTGCCTTCTGATTAGAAATTGGTAAGGATTTATTTTCCAAAACCAATTCCCACATCACATGAAGACCCACAGTGCCCAGTCTCTTACACCCCCCCCCCCATTTCTACCCCTGTAGTCCTTTCACAAGCTTGAAACAAAGGGTCTTGCAGTGCTTTGTCAAGAGCTGTCACTCCTCAAACAATCTCACTGAATTTCCTTTCACAAAAGTAACTCTACAGCCAGGTGTGGTGGCACATACCGTTAGTCCCAGCAATCAGGAAGCAGAAGCGGTTCTCTGTGAACTTGAGGCCAGCCTAGTCTACATAATGAGTTTCAGAACAGAGACCCATCTCAAAAAACCCAAAGTAACGTTAGTCTTGTAAGGAAAAGCCACTTTTAAGAAAAGCTTCCCAGGGTGCTTTTATGAACTGCTGCTATGGGCCTAGAGAGTACCTTACCCAACTCCACATCAGAGAGATCTCCGCCATTGGGAAAGTCCCGACAACTGCTCCTTGTGGAAACCCTGCTGACACTTGATTGAGAGTCAGAAGCACAAGCTTTGGCCACTGACTGCACCAGGTGCTCATCATCAGCATTTCGCCAGCCCCACCAGCTAACCTCTGGTTGTCCGCAGCGGGCAATAACAGCTCCATTGCTTTGGTGCCTGTGTGGAGACAAAAGACAACAACTGTACTATTTCAGGCCCCCAATCTGATGCTCTGTACTCACATAAAAAGTATAGTAGTTGACTGTAAGCTATTTATTAACTAGCCTGACACTAGATAAATATTGAATTGGCTTCAAATCCTTGCAGTATTAAAGGAACGGAAATGAATAACAAAACTTACATAACTTTCTCAATTATCACCCCATTATAGTTACAATATAAAGTTACCAACAAATGACAAATGAGTATTCTTAGAGAAAATGAACTAACACTCACTCACAGCTTATTCTGAATCTTTATGTTTGGGAAATAAGCTTTATTTAAAAAAAAAAAACCTATGAATACTATTCTAATCCTACTATGTAATAATTAAGCACAAACAGCCCATTCTTGATACTGAATCCAATACATTAGATGCTAAAATACAAAACAAATTGCTTTGCCTCACTTCTGAGGGTCCACTGCAGTACCCATACTCATTACTGCTGGCTTGAGAATTTTTTTCAAACATTTTTCATCTCTGTAACTGGAACATTCACCTGGCCCATGGTGGAATCCTTTATAAAACTCTCCCGAGGTGTCATGAGTCACAAGTTAATCTTACTAGAGGCACAGCACTCAATGACCCAGCCCATGCTTCTTTCCTTGTGATTGTAGAAAGAAGAAATCACAATCCAGCAAACCATACTCTCACACATCTTTTTCCAAAGGCAGAAATTATTCCCAGTATACTCTGAGATGCTATAAAAAGAATCTCATGTATTTTCCAGTATGTTGATTAAACAGCTGGGGAAATATAATATTTACTAGTAAAAAAAAAAGGAATAAAGACATACTACATCACCGATGAATTGAAATGTGTCACATAAAGTAAAATAAGCCAATCACAGAGGACATATATGACATATTCAAAATAGGTAAATCTAGAAAAACAATGCATTACTGGCTATACTTTGGGCTAGAGCAGTTGGGAAAGAAGGACTGCTAATAAGTATGAGGTTTCCTTCAGGGTAGCAAAAATACAACTATGACTTTTAGAGGTGGGTTATACAACTCTAATTGTAATATACTAAAAGTTGCTCAATTGTATTCACATACTTAAAGCCTTTTTAAGTTATAAAAGTAATCATCTGGCTATAAATATAAAGATGGTGGGCTCAGTGGGTGAAGCACATGCCTAAGCAAGACTGGTACCTCCATCCCTGAACTTATTATGCAAAGGTGGAAGATGGCAACAGACTCCACAAAATTGTATCACATATATTGTGGCAAGTGTGCCCATACACATCACACACACAATAAACAAATCAATGAATAAAGCTTTTTAAAAAGATTTTGTTCTATATTTTATTGCTGTGTATGTGGGTGAGTCTGTGTGTGGAAGGAGAGAGCCAAAAAAGAACAGATCTCTAGGAGCTGCAATTACAGGCAGTTGTGAGTGCCCAATATGGGCGCTCGTAACTGAACTCCATTCATCTGGAAGAACCGCAAGTGCTCTTTACCACTCAGCCCACTCTTCAACCCCAATAAATACTTTTTTAAAAATCTGGTAAGCAAAATTCCAAAGGTCTACTAATTCTATATTCTGAAGAAAATACCCATGTTTTTGAAAATGTTCTTGAACATGCACATGCAAATCTATACACAAAAAGTACAAATGTGTTTACACAGAACACATTACTCCATTCCTTTTTCTTCTTTAGAGAAAGTTTGTTTTTAACTCTTAAATTCACAAGTAATAAATTAAATTTGGCGGTAATCAAATCTCATCAGAACAGTTTGCTTATAGGTTTTCAATCCTCCCTAACTGTGAACAGCAAGTAGCTAACACTACACATTACTACCAACACCTCATTGGCTCACACACAATCAGGCAAACAACATGAAACTCAATGGATTCTTGCTGTGCCTCCCTGGTAGGTAGGTTGGGGAAACACTGAGCTGAATGACTGCAAACTTCCCAGAAGAGGGTGGAGGCCTTCCTGAGTGTCCTCTGTCTCTGCAAGGCTTCTTAGGACTGATCTAGGAACAGCAGATGGCACTCTTTACCCTGGGTCTTAGATTTTTCAGGATCTACTGGGTCACTACAAGTCCCGTAATTTCCCAAAATGCATCAAAGACAGCTCAAGCAGGACAGTTACAATCACTTTAAAAGGAAAATTAAAAAGAAAACAAGGTAAAATAGACATTTTACCACTTTAACAAACAGAATTTAGAAAAATACAAAAAGCCTAATAAATGAACCCACCTACTAAAACACGGAATGCTTCCTTCCATTCTACATGAAAATGCAATGGTTTTAACTGCCTCTAAGTCAGTGGTCAGGCAAGCTCCCTATAGGATAAGGTGCTTTGACAGATCACCAAGTATACAGACAGAGGAGCTATGAGCTGCAAGATCTTGCTGTGTTACAGCAACTCCAGAGTTGTAATCAGGTACGGGGTTCAGTTCAGTTCAGTGTTAACAAGTGACCTCAGAAATCACTGCAGCAGCCCACAAATAACTAACCCAGAGAATGTTGGATTTAGAGGCATCTTGCCACCTGTGGTAGTTTGAATAAAATGTGATGGTTTGAATGAGAATGGGCCCCATAGGCACTATTTGAGAAGGATTAGGAGGTATGACCTTGTGGGAGGAAGTATGTCACTGGGGATGGGCTCTAGTTTCAGAAACCCCATTGATGGGAGATGTCATTCTGTAAATATGTTTCTCATACTGGTTCATGAATAAAGCACTATTGGCCAATAGGAAAGGAAGATAGGAGGGACTAGGAGACAAGGAGGAAAGAGAAGAGGAAAAAGGAAGGAGTAAGGAGGAGTCAAGATGGAAGACGGAGAGAGCAGAACGCCTCTCTCTCCGGTAAGATAAGACCATGTGGAAATACATAGAAATGGGTTAATAGTTAAGACAGAGCTAGCCGATAAGAAACTAGTACCTGGCCAACAGCATTATATCAAATACAGAGTCTCAGTGTGTTATTTGGGGCTGGTACGGTGGCGGGACAAGACCAGCAGCATGCAGAAAAACCTTACTCCTTACATATGGCACCCACATGGCTAATAAGAACTTCCACTTAAAATTTAACAAAAGCTTAAAAAAGGGTTTTAGAAACAAAAGAACAGAGACAAGCAAGGTTTCTTGGTAGCAGCATTTTTATCGGTTGGACTCTGCTTTGGAAGAGACAAGCAGATATTTGCACAGCTCCTTTAAGGGGGGATTCCTGACTCAGCATAAGCGGCAAAAAAACCGCACGGCTTTTAAGAAGCACTGCTAGCAATTTATTGGTGTGTATGAGAGCTGGCAATGGCAGTGACATCTTCTAGCTGGCAACATGCTGCTGGATGGCAGCATAGACCACGGCGGTGAACACAGCTCTCACTGCTGGCGGTAATGGTACTCGCCGACATCTTTGGTAAACCGCAGCTGACACAGCAATGACTTTCATTTTAGCAATGTTGTTGTTTACCTGATAAGACTCCTGGCTACAAAAAGATAAAGATTTACAGTAAAGACAAATTCACATTAAGAAAACCTCTGAAGGTTTACAGTGTGTTCTATATATATGTAGGCTTGGGAGAAAAAAAGAAAAAGATAAAATGGTTTAAAAAATAATAAAAAGACAAAGAACAGCTGGGTGTGGTGGCACATGCCTCTAATCCCAGCACTCAGGAGACAGGCAAGCAGATCTTTGTGATTTCAAAGTTAACCTGGTATGCAGTATAAATTCCAAGACAGATAAGAGTTACACAGACAAACTCTGTCTCAAAAAATAGAAAAGAAACAGAATAATAAAAAAGCCACAAATGGAAAAAATCTGGGCATTGTACGGTATTATATTGTCTTTATATGGTTTGACTGCTGAGGAAACAACTGTTAAAGGAAATACTGCTGGATTAATTCAATTTATATATTTTAAAAATGCTTTGACTCCAAAATTTAAGTCTAAGGACAAGTTACTGGGGAAAAGGATTTCCATTTTTGTTTCCACAGAAAATAAAAAGCTGTGGATTCCTTCCAGACTAATGTGGTTTGAGCAAGCCAGACCCCCCCTGAAACAGCATTCCTGGTGATCCAACATTCAAAACAGCTTAAACAAGGCAGCCTTGCAAACTACAGCCAGGATTTCTGCAAGTTCTTAGGATCCCCAATGACAGCGCGCCCTATCAGCAAGAAGTAGTTTGGAAAGAATGATGCCCAAATTCCCAAATATTGTTTATAAATGTTTGTTTTCATTTAAATGGGCTTGGTTTAAATGGTTAATGACCACAACCAATCTTTTTAAAGGTAAAAAGGGGATTATGGTATAGACATGAATACATTACTTTGGAATGGATTTTCATTTATTGATACAATTTAAGGTCAATTTTGTGATATGTATATTTCTCCTCTTGTTTAGGCACTGTGTTTATATAGCTCATTTAGAAATGTAATGTATAATTTACTACAGATTATAGATAATTACCTATGATAGTCAAAGCTTAGAGTTAAGTTAGTTAAGTTTTTCAAGATACACAGAGATATATTTGAGATAGATAGGAATTCTTCAAACCTTTCAAAGACCTACAGAATATGGCATTTAAAATGGTTTAGGGTTTTTCTTAACAATGAGACATAAATGCTCCTGGCAACACCACCTACATCAGAAAGGAAGATGGACATCGAAGAAACGTGTTATGAAGTTTGCTCCCAATATGGCGAAACTAGCCATTTGGACAAGATACTGCTCTTGTCTGGACTGTTTGACTTTATGCTGTATGAACTGGACATGCAGGACCCATAGAGAAATGACTGCTGATTCAAGATGGACATTGCTACAGAGTTCCTGCTTCATGGAAGAGTCTGCCAGATAGTCTGCAGGACACAAAGAAAAGTGACTGACAAACTGCCAATACAAGAAGACAGTTTAAAGTTTCCTACTTTACTGAAGAGTCTGCTAGACACACTATGGCCTATGGGCTAAAGATGGAAGATTACAGAAGAACTTCAGGTGACTGACAAAGACAAGATGTCTCTGTCATTTGTAGAGTTTAAATACTATCCTTCTGTGGTCTTTAAAAGAGTTGAAGACAGATAGTTATGGTTATAGTTTTCCTTAGTTAGAATTAAAGATAAGTTACATAGACTTTACACACGCAAAGATAGGATAGATGATGGAATATTTTCTTCAAATCTTGCTAAATGCTAATGGACTAAATATTAACTGTAATTCTTACTTGATAAGTGTTGTGTTATATATTTTGCTTTGTTAAGGTTTAAACCCTTCCTTTTATTTTAGACAGAAAAGAGGAGATGATGGGAGATGTCATTCTGTAAATATGTTTCTCATACTGGTTAATGAATAAAGCCCTGTTGGCCAATAGGAAAGGAAGATAGGCGGGACTAGGACAAGGAGGAAGGAGAAAGGAGTAAGGAGGAGTCAATATGGAGAGACTGGAGAGAACAGAAGTCCGGATCTACTCCCTGGTAAGATAAGACCACGTGGAGATTAATAGAAATGGGTTAATAATTAAGACAGAGCTAGCCGATAAGAAACTAGTACCTGGCCTACAGCATTATATCAAATACAGAATCTCAGTGTATTAATTGGGGCTGGTGTGGTGACGGGACCAGACCGGCAGCAGGAGGAAAAACCTTACTGCTTACACCCCATGCCTGCAGATCAGGATGTAGCTCTCAGCCATTACTCCAGCCAGCATCATGAGAGCTGCCATGCTCCCTGCCATCATGAAAACAACCTAACCCTCTGAGACTGTAAGCAAGCCCCTAATGAAATCCTTTCTTTTATAAGAGATGCTTTGATCATAGTGTCTCTTCACACCAATAAAATAGTGACTAGGACATCATCTCTGCTGGCATTGAAGAGTGCTGGAGTCCCCAACATTCTTCAACACACCCCTCACAAAACTAAACAACATAGGCCCCCAATTTGGAGGTCAGAGACATGTTCTGGGATAGAGAGCAGCTCCAGGAAGCATGCTTGATTTATTTACATGGGCTACATCAACAACTTCCAGCTGTAATCCTGATTTTTTTTTCTCAAAGACTGAAAATTTCCATTTATATATTCTAGGGTCTCTAAAAGGGGGAAATCCTAGAACTCATGCCTTCTAGAATAACAAAAAGGAAAGGGGGGGGGGGAAAGCTAAATTTTTTTACCATATTCTAAGGAACCTTTCTTATCTAGCACATTTAGGCTTTCTGCCTAAGGGGAGAATTCATTGAAGCCTGTTACTCAGAAGCTGAGAGCACTCTCCCTTCTACTCCAAGTCAGCAAGTCTCACACATGCCAGGCAGCTGATCTCATACAGCTGCCATCACAACAGCACCCAGCTGCTTTCCCATTCTCATAAATCCCTTCAGCTTTCACTGCTAACTCTCATGCCATTCTCGCCACTTGACTGATAGGTGTATTTAGTGACCTACTTTTTTAGTAGTGTCTGAAAACAAAAGTAATAAACACGGAAAGTGAAGGCTTAATGGGTTCCACTGAGCATATCAAATATTGTTGACTTTCTGTATTCAGGGTGGGCATCAGAATGTGCCTTCAACAGATAAGAATGCCACAAGAAATACACTTTCAGCCGTATATTGGTGGCACACACCTTTAGTCCCAGCACTCGGGAGGCAGAGACAGGCCGTTCTCTGTGAGGTTGAGGCCAGCCTGATCTACAGAGCTAGTTCCAGGACAGGTTCCAAAACAATGCAAAAAAATCCTGTCTTGAAAAACCAAAAGAAAAGAAAAAAAAAAAAAAAAAACACCCCACTTTCCTAGGGTCTCGATTTTTGAATGTAGTGGCTCCTGGTGAACAATTTTTTTACTAAGCCACCGAAATAAGAACAAACAGGTCACTGACTTATAAAGTGAGCACTCAAGAATATACTTTTTTTCCAAATGTTAAAGACATTAAAGTGTTAAGAGGCCCTCATCAGCATCCCACAGAACACTGTAAGGTAAGAATTATCTTGCTCATTCTAGTCATCAGAGGCAGACTGGAGTCAATCCAGGAGCCATAGTCAGTTATGTCGGTCTCTATCTTGCCCACCCCTTCTAAAACTTGCATCTCTTAGCCCTTATATACATAGCTATTTCCTCTAAATTAAAATACCACTCTTACAGGGAAAAGCTTCTAAGAAAGGCACAAGAATATGTGCCATTCCAAGGCTAAACACTTGCTGGGAAAGAAAACTCTGGTGGGGCTGCCCATAGCGCCTTAGAGAATGGCAGTAATGCAGCTTTCAGGAGTCAGCATGATGGGAAACCTTGCAGTGATGTAGCTATCTCTGAAACATCTAACCCATTCCTCACCCATGCTCCTATAAGCAACCTTAAAAGCTGCAACTGGTCAGCAAGCTAAATCGGATGGAACTATTTCTTAGGTCTGTAGTCCGTTTTATCTGGGACTAATAGAGGTTAGCTCATGTCTCCCAACAAGAAGTCACACACAGCTCTCATGCCTTGGATCTCTGAAGTTTTCTACCCAACCCTGGCTGTTTCTAATTCTATCTCAAAACAAGAGTCCTTCCTTCCATATATTAAAGTGACAATCACGAACACCATTATCACCAATCTTTCAACACAAAGCCCTGTTAAACATCTGAGCAAGCACAAGAAAAAATGTTATTTGTCTGTTTGATTGTTTCTTGAAATAGGATTTCTCTTTGTAGCCCTAGCCTCCTGAATGCTGGGATTAAAGGCATGCCACTATTACCTAGCTTAAGAATGCTATCCTAAAGAAAAAAAAAAAAAAAAAAAAAAAAAAAAAAAATTTTAAGACAAAGAACTAGAAAATGTGGCAGGCTTCTGATCCTTTGTCTTCCTGTGTAGTAGCCCTGTCTAGCCTAGAAGTCCTTATGTAGACCAGGATAGACTTGAACTCACAGAGATCCACCTTTCTTTAACTCCTGAGTGCTAGGATTAAAGGTGTACACTGCCACCCTGGCCCAGACACTTTTCTATTAAAATGTTCTCATCGGGGTCCATACATACCCACAGCTTAGTGTTCTGGACACAGTGAGTGCTGGTATATTTCTTTCTGCAGGCACAGCTTCAGCAATCAGGAAGCATGGACTGGCCAGGGACTATCTCTGAACCCAACCCTACCCAGCACCTGCCAGGCTAGCAGCCACTAAGACAGCAAGCAACAGACGGTGGGCAGTAGTACCAGCCTAACCTTGTGCTAGTCTGGCTTACTTACCTGTAGATGACAGCAGGGATGCGCTTCCAGGATCGGAAGCCTGCCACACTTTCTAGTTCTTTGTCAGTGATCCAGGCAGGTACTATGAGCTCTTGTGGATAACTACCACATAATCTGTTGGAAAGAAGAGAATGGTGGTGAGAAGAAAGGAGGAAGAAAAGGGAATAAGAGGAGGAGAGATGCAGACGGATACTATATGAGCCAGCACAGGGACACTGTTTATGGCACTACAAAGCCAGCCAAAAAGGCAATTAGGATACTCGCCTAGCATGTTCAAGGATCTGTATTCATTCTCTAGCACAGAAGAAAAAAAATAGCAGAAGAGAAACAGAAGGGACATTATTTGAGTTTTTGGTCCCCTTAACAGAATGGAAGCCATAACTTTGCTTATGTTTTATACATATCATCTTTAATGGTGCAATCTGATGCTACCTTTTAGAATCTGATAAGCTAGTATTGAAACAATGCTAGTTGAGAGACATTCTCATCCTCCATGATGTGTGTGTGTGTGTGTGTGTGTGTGTGTGTGTGTGTGTGTGTGTGTGTGATTTTAAAGTACTAGAATAGCCAGTTAAATTACAGGGAAAAAGCACCCATGTCATCTCTCTTAGCTTCAGTCTTCCAGGCTCTTGTCAAAGGAAGCATGAAAAGGACAAAACCCACTATTTCAGATTTTCAGAGACCTCTTCAGATTAACTTACTCATTCTCTTATTTGAACCAGGATGTCCTAATCATAAGTAACAAATATAGCCAGGAATTATACAGCTAGTAATTATACACTAATAATCCCAGTGAGCCAAGTTAGTAACGTGAATAAGCTCTTAGTGATAATTTCTATAAAACACAGTACAGAAGAAACTATACATTGAGAAACATGCTGTTTCTTGCTTGTTCTTTTCTCCCTCCTCTGTCTCACTCTTTCTCATTTTAAAACAGAAGGTGGTAGATACATTTAAAGTCAAGCTGGTGACCTAGGACAATGGTACTTCTGAAAGATTTTATTTACAGGACTGTATCACTGGGTAATCTTCCTTTTGAACAGTAGGAGCAGTATGGAAATTAATCACAAACCATTTGTTTGGCTAGTTTTCATGTCAACCTGGCACAAGCTAGAGTCATGTGGGAAAAAGAAAACTTAAGAAAATTCCTCCAGCTGCCGAGCGGTGGTGACGCATGCCTTTAGTCCCAGCACTTAGGAGGCAGAGGCAGGTGGATCTCTCTGAGTTCAAGACCAGACTGGTCTACAAGAGCTAGTTCCAGGTCAACTTCCAAAGCCACAGAGAAACCCTATCTCAAAAAAACAAAAGAAAAAGAAAATTCCTCCATAGGACATGGGAGGGTCCAGCCTACTGTGGGTGGTACCACCCCTGGGAAGGTGGAAGGTGGTCCTGAATGGTACAGAAATCAGTTGAGCAAGTCATGGAGAGCAAACCAGAAAGCAAGCAGTACTTCTCCATGGCCTCTGCTTCTGTTCCTATCCTGAGTTTACCCCCGACTTCCTTTGATGATGACTGTGATGTGGAAGTGTAAACAAAACAAATTCTTTCCTCTTGAAGTTGCTTTTAGTTCATGGTGTTTTATTTCAGCAATAAGTATGACACCATTACCTTCATCACATCCCCCAACCGTATTCTATGCAGTAGAAGTTGATTAAGGAGGTTTTTTTTTTTTTTTTTTTTTGGTGTGGGGGGGGGGTTTGGTTTTTCAAGGCAGGGTTTCTCTTTGGCTTTGGAGCCTGTCCTGGAACTTGCTCTGTAGACCAGGCTGGCCTTGAACTCAGAGATTCAGCTGTCTCTGCCTCCCAAGTGCTGGGATTAAAGGCCTATGCCACTACTGCCCAGCTAGGACTTAAGAGTTTTAATCACTCTACACTACAGCTCTTTCTTTTCTGCTCTCAATTTCCAGAAGATAAACAATCAGACATTTAAAAGCCACTGAGCCAGGAGGATAGTTGTGACTGAGAATAGCTAACACCCATTCAAGTTCTTTGTTGTTGTTTTGCTTTCTTAAACAAGAGTTTCTCTGTATAGTCTGTCCTCAAACAAGAGATCCACTTTGCCTCTGACTCTCAAGTGCTGGGATTAAAAGTGTTTGCTACCACTGCCTGGCTCCATTCAAACTCTTGCCAGTGACCATGGCAACTACTCTCATCACTCATCTTGTTCTCTTTGTTTTAGGTTCAAGACTAGACCTGGATGAATCTCATTCTTTAGGAATGGGATGACTTTTTCACAGTCCTGGAGACTGACTTACTCATATGACTTGGTGGTTTTGTGCTCACTGTCTAGTAGACTCCACACCTCTCTCTTCTACTCAGAAGTCAGCTCTGCTCATCATGGGTAAGCAGCTCCAGTGTATAGAAAGGAGGTTCCATTCAGCAAAGCCTATGTAGCCTCAGATCCCTATGGCTTTGCTGTCCTCCACCCTGCCTCTGAGAACAGCTCCATGGGAAGCTCTTGGACCTTCCTAACCCCAGGTTCCTAACTTTTTGGCTAGATCCATGTAAAAGAAAGGCTGCAATAAGTGGTAGATTTCCCAGTGAAAAATGGCTAACCACAAATAGACCAAGGAAATGGCTATTATAATTTGAGGTAACTGAAAAAAGAAAAGCATTATTAGTGCTGCAAAGAAACTAAAGGGGGGGGGGAGAGAGAAACTAAAGAGGAGAATAGATTCATTTCAGTGTCTTGGACAATGTTTTACAGAAACTTAGATTGACAAAATAATAGTATTTAACCTAACCACCTTTTCTCACCAAAACACTTACATGTTTTTAGGAAATAGGTAAATGAATGAATACTTAATGGTTATTTAATATTTAATGGTTAAATGATTATAGCTGTGAAAATTTGCCATTAAGATTAGCAATGAGGATTGGAAATATTTCTCAGGAGGAAAGTACCTGCCAAGTTCAGATCCCCAGTGCCCATGTAAAAGACTGGGTGTGGTAGCACATGCCTATAATCCTAGCATTGGGGAAGTAGAGACAGGAAGCTCTTTAGAGTTTGTTGGTCAGCTACTCTTGCTGAACTGAGAGGCCCCAGGTTCAGTGAGAGACCCTGTCTCAAAAAAAAAGGTGACAAGTGATAAAAGGAGACACTGAACATTGGCTAACCTCTGGCCTCCACACACACCTACACAGGTACACGTACATGTACATGTACACACTCTAGAGCCTGAGCCCACGCGTGCACACGCACACACACACACACACGCCCACGAGCGCGCGCGCACACACAGAGTGTTTATCCTTCCTTTTAAGATCACTGATCCTGTCTCTTACGTAATGCCAAGTGGTGATGAAAACCCTGCTGCCCACCATTGGCACAGTATCGTCTAGACACACATGGGGCAGGAAGAACGGAGGCCTGTAAAGTTTAAAAAAGGAAGGTGTCAGGATCTTATTAAGCAAGGATCATTTTCCACTCCAGAAATCCTGAACAAAAGGTTCAGAAAGAACTCTGAAGAGCATTAATTTAGTGCTAATAAACAAAATTCTATTTCAAAGTACCTAAATTCAATGTTCTGCCACTTGAGAATTGGGATTCTGTTAAAGGCTCTGGCTGTGAAACTCAATCTACAAGTATCCATATAACTCACTTGTATTTCTCATTGATGTTGGAAATCCTCCAGGCATTGTTCATATCAAAACCCATCCGCTCCACTTCATTCTTAAACCTTGACGTTACATGTTCCCCTAGGGAGAGAGACAGATAGCAGAAACAAAAAAATAAATACAATTTTGCAAAATGGAAAACAAAACTACTTTGCTCTGCTCTATTCAAACTGTTTTAAAGGCAGAAATATATAAATAGATATCATATTTAACTTCAGTTTAAAAAAATGAGCAGAAAGAAGAGAGGGCTAACAGATTAAGGATTATACCATTTTAGCCATTGTGTGCCTTTAATCTCTGCTCTCAGCAGACAGAGGCAGGCATACCTCTGTAAGAATTTGAAGCCAGCCAGGGTTATATAACTAAGACCTTGTGTGTTTAAAGTCTCTGTGGGTATTGCTGCGCTCATTCACTGCATTCATTTTTTCAGAGGGCAAGCAGTCTGGGAAGATTAGTATGAAACTGCTCTCTGGCCCCAAAGCCCACATTCTTTCTTATAACCACACAGTCTACTTTCTTATGTCCACACTCAGACTGACAATATACATAAAAAGAAATAAAATCCATCTTTAAAAAACCACCAAGATTAGTAACATAAATCTAAAATTATTCATCTGAAACTTTCTGGGTCACATTTCAGAACCTGGGAGTTTTCTGGCTTTTAGAAAGCTAAGACGGCACATGTATTACACTACTACAGACACAATTTCAACAGGGCTACTTAGGCATCCCTAGTTCCCCAAGGGAACACAAGGGTTCTTCATACCAAGTGAGAGAACTGTCAGCTCAGATAAGGTCAAACAGCAAATAGGTTAAGAAATGCTTTCTGGTTTTCAGAAACTGCAAGTAATCAGGCTAGTGGTCATAGGAGCCTAACTGCCAATGATCAGGAAACAAAAACAAAAAAACCCTCTGGGCACCTATAAGAATATATCCCTATCTCCTAGCTATAACCTGATCACATTTCTCATAAATGTGGCCCTTTCTCCTGTAAGACCATAATAAAGGTAGAGCCAGACCTACATCTAAAAAGCTTTCCCCCTTAAAGAAGTGCATGGTCCTGGAGCATAACTCACTAAACACCTAGCAGGCTCCTATCTAATGTGTGTAATCCGTGTTATAAGCTATAAAACAAGCCAGGCAGTGGTGGCACACGCCTTTGAGCCTAGCACTTGGGAGGCAGGTGGATCTCTGTGAGTTCAAGGGCAGCCTGGTCTACAGATCTAGTTTCAGGGCAAGCTCCACAGCTATAGAGAAACTTTGTCTCAAAAAAACAAAACAAAAAACCCGAGCTAAGAAATGGCTAACAACAACAAGCTATAAAATAAATGCTGGCAGAGCGAGGCCAGAAGAAAGCACAACAAACAACATATACAACAGACTGCTCTGGAGAGAAAGGAAAAGATTTGTTCTCCCTTGGAAATGAGCCTCAGAGCAGGAAATGCCAATTACTTGGATGATGGCCAACCCTGTAAAAACCATTTAACTACTTTTGAGTTTAAGCTAGGTATCACATGCTCCCTGAAGATGAGCTATAAAAAGATGATGTTCAGAGCAACAGGAAGAAATAACAGTTAAATCTGGTCCATTTGGAAAAGTTTTAGAAGCAATGTAATAGACTCTCCAATAGGATAAAAAGCTATCTGAACTGAGGTGCCATCTGTCTACAAATTGTAAGGAATATTGGCCCTTCAGGGAGCCTTTCATTTAAAATATAAAGGTGTAAAATTGTGACACCTTTCAAGTTTATTAAAAGAAGATATCTCATGGGGCTCAGTGGTTAAGAACACTAGCTATTTTTCCAGAGGTCCTGAGTTCAATTCCCAGAACCCACATGGTGGCTCAACTGTCTATATGATGCCTTCTTCTGGTATGCAGACCTACATACAAACAAAGCACCCATATAATAAAATACATACATACATACACACACACAGCTTAAAAGATGTTGCTTCTGATATACTTTTAAGTTTTACAAAAGTAGAGTGCATTTTTTATTAATGGTCTTTTATATTAACATCTCGATTTTAGGATAAACGTTATCCTAAAAGGATCCTGTGATTTAATAAATAAATAAATAAATAAATAAATAAATAAATAAACAAACAAACAGACAAACACTGGCATCTGGGCACGATCTTAGCAGATAATCTATTGTTTAAAACTGAGCTATCCTGGAGACCTGGAACAGGAAACAACCACAGGTCAGGGAGCCTGTTTTTACCTGCCACAGCCAGGTGGATAGCTTGAGAGGTAGTTGTGGCTAGGAGTAGATCTCATTAACTAACAGTAACTCTTGAGTCAGACAGCTCTGGGCTTGGGGTCTGTAGGTAGATCAGGCTCTGGAGCAACCTCTGGTGTACACTAGAGTCTGAAAACGCTGACGTTCCAATGATCAATATTCAGGGGTTAAAGTGTGGAAACAGGTCCTTCATCCACACAGATTTCAGTGTTGTGGATGCATCTCCCACTCTTCACTCTCTAGCTAGGGCCCAAGGGGAGTCTACAAGGTGGGAGTAATCTGTCTAGCCCACTAAACAAAAGACAAATGTGGCCATCAGAAGCCTCGTACACAGAGAAGAGAGGCTCTAAAAAACGAAGACAGTTATGGCAGACATTAGAGACTCACCCAACACAGGCTCAAATCAGCATAACCCTGAAAGATAAGGATCTATATGTAGTACAGCTGACTTTCCCTTCCTCACCATACATATAACTGGCAGTTTGCCATCTGAAGCTGCTATCATGTCAGCTTTTTCTTTTGTTCCTCCATTTCCTTTATACTACATTTGTGGCAGTATTTTCACTTACGACACTCTAAAAAAAAGGGGGGGTGCTTTATTTACTTGTATGTCTGTGTATCACTTGCATGCTGGTACCCATGGAGACCAAAAGAAGACATAGAATCCCCTGGAACTATAGTCACAGATAGTTGTGAGCCACCAAGGAGGAGCTGGGAATTGGACTCTGGTCCTGAGGAAGAGCAGCCATTGCTTTTATCTTAACTGCTGAGCCATCACTGAAGCTCTAACTTTTATATCTTCATCTTATTCTTCTTAAGTTAATCTAGCATAGTATCTCCTTTCCTCTTATATTTATAATTATCTTTCTTCCTATGATATTTTTAATAGTATTTTGACTTTATTTTAATGGTTGTTGGAGACAGGGTGTCACAAAGACTGAGGTGGTCCTAAGGTTGACCCTCCTACCTTACCTCTGCTTCCCCAGTACTAGAACTACAAGAAGCATGCTCTACCATGTCCAGCTATCTTATTTGCTTTTAACTTAAAAACCAAAAAAACTTATTTTTAAATTAATTTACTTGTCTCTTTTATTCTATGTGTATAAATGCAGGTTCATGCACATATGCATGTGCAAATCAGAGGACTTGTGGGAATCAGTTCTCCCATCTCGAGTTCTGGGGAATCAAACTCAGATCTTAAGCAGCAAGTACTTTTACCTGCTGAGCCATCTCACTGGCCCATGTTTTAACTTTTATTACTGTTTTTACATTTATCTAATTAAAAAATTAGAATTATATGCTTTATTTTATATGTATGTTATTTTCCTGCAAGTATGTACATGCATCACATATTTGCCAGGTGCCCTCAGAAGACAGAAGGAGTCAGATCCCTTGGAACTGGAGTTACAGAGGATTGTGAGCCTAGGAATTCATGTGAGTACTAGGAACTGAACCTGAGTCCTTTACAAGAGCAACAAATGCTTTAAATACCAAACCATCTCTCCTTTCCCTATCTCTCATTTACTTTTCACTGTTTCCCATTTGCCCTGAGTAGTTTTAACCTCACAGCACAGTCTATATTAGTTTTGCCATTTTCTGTTCCACAGTCATTGCTAATGTAGGAGTGAACTTTAATCAAGTTCAAGTGGATTCTGTGTCTTATATGGTCTGACACTGCCATTAGAAGGTTTATATTTTTTTCCCCTTTCTCAGTAGGAGTAAGGCCCTAAGATTAAGCTTCTCACTAAGAAACCTACAAATAAAACCAGAAGCAACACCCAAACCAGCAAACTCACAAATCGTAAACTAGGAGCAGAAGAAACATGAACGGTCAGAGCATTTTAACTCCCCAACTGCTGCCCAATGAAATGCCCAATGAAATATAATGCCCAATGAAAACTCAAGTTTACTGGTGAAATAATCAGTGGTCTCAAAGAATATACCTCCAGAAGATGAACAAAATCCAGAAGCTAAAGAGAAAAGTCAGCAAGGAACATAGACTAAGTCAGCAGTGGGTGAAAAATCAGCAATATGCATAATAAAACAACATGGAAGAAAGATTCAGCAAAAAAAAAAAAAAATATATGGTATTTTATTTTTTAAAAAATGTTGGAGATGAAGAATTTACCAAAAAAAAAAAAAAAAAACAGTGGGAAACATCACCAACAGACCACCCATGCAGAAGAATCTCAAGGGTGGAGGCCAAAATCACGGGAAAACCACATTAAAACATAAGTAAAAGTAAATAGCCAGGTATGGTGATACACACTTTAACCCCAGTAATCAAGAGGCAGAAGCAGGTGAATCTAGTCAACCTAGTCTACACAGAGAGTTCCGGGCCAGCCAGAGCTAAACAGTGACACCCAAAAAACAAACAAACAAATGTAATATTGATAAACACTGGGACACAGTCAAACCTCAGATAAAGAGATAAAGAAAAATCCATATATTTATTAATGAAAAGAACAATTCATTCAAAGATATAACAGCTGTAAAAACATATGCACCAAATGTTGGGGCTTCCAATTTTGTAAAACAAACATTATGAACACAAAGGGTCACACAGTTCCTGATACAGTAATTGTGGGTGACTTCAGTACCCAACTCTCATTTTTAGGCATATAATCCAAATAAAAATCCACAAAGAAACTTCAGAGTTAAACTGCACCATAGATCAAATTTATGTAACAAACTTCAACAAAATATATAGAATGTGCATTCTTCCAACAGTCTCTGGAACCACTTCTGAAATAGATCACATTCTAGCCATAAAGTACATTTTAACAACCTAAGAATGAAATAAATTCTGTTATCTTTTTTTAGATCACCATAGAGTAAA